ATAGAAGTTGGGGTATAATTATAGGGAGCTTGCTATCATGCGGTGTAATATTATTTCCACTTAAGGGGTACTATATATCTCGAGCCCACTTGAGATCAGCTCGAGTATCTCCTTTGAAGTCTTATTCTGCTCCACTTAAAACCTTTTGCAAGTGTTTGCTCGCCCTAATGGTGTGCCGCTCGGCTGTGCTGCTTGATTTTGTTAGTGTCAGTATTAGTATGTGTTGAAAGGTTATCATCTCGAGAATTGACTTCGATCGTTCTGTGGCCTTGCTGGCCTTGAAAATGCCTAATTAGGCAGGCACTGCCGTGCGGAAAAACACGCGGCGTGTCAAAGCCAAAATGCCCAGCACTACTTCCCTCTTTACTACTCGTGAATGACTGAAACCTTCCCAAAACCTTGCACAGGAAACTCCTTAGCGCAAGGCCACAAAGCAAACTTCATTACTGCCCTTTCACTCTGAGCTACGCAGACCATTTGTTTTGCACGTGTGTGTGTCAGGTGCACAAAGATGTCCTGAATGCCTCCTGTCCTGATGCATCCTGATGCAAAGGTTTGTCAATGAGCGACTTCTCCCAGCAGCGCCCACCAACGAAGTGGAGCAGGATTGCAAGCAACAGCTGCCTGCCCTCAATGGGATATGTATCAGTTACATGCTAAGCATGTGCCAGCATTCGAGGAGTTTTGGATGGAGATACATTTCGGAAACAAGAATTCTACGGCCCCAAGTCAGAGAGGCTTTACTGCTACCAGAATCCAGCAAGGGCCGCATTTCTGGCATTGATTCAAGCATGCTGGGGCTGTTTGACTTTCGAATGCTTGCCCTCTGTGGTGTCCATTATGATGAGGCAAGGCATCTAGTCTTGCAATGCTGTTGTCACAGTCACTGTCACAACATGTCAGGCATCGTGCTTGTACCTTGCCGTTCTCCATCGCACTTCCTGTGCCTGCTTGTACTTCTTTCTGGGGATGAGGAGAGATCTGGGATGATCTGGGGAATGTTGTCGGAGTTTTGCCTACGGTAGCACCAAGTTTGAGTCAGTTTGATGCTTGTGCACCTGAGGTAGAGCCGCGTGCTGCAGTGGTGCGGCCAAAGACCATGGAAGCTGAAGAAAAGAAGCCAACATGTGCAAAAAGTTCTACATGCTGATACCTTGAGTAGCCTTAGCATAGCTATTTTGATACTGTTGCTGTGTTTACACAGCCCATGAGACAACCTCCCATGCTGGCAAAGCCTGAACCCCACAAAAAGCTGCAACCCAAAAGTCCGAGCCGGCAACTGCGAATCGTACATAAGCGGCAGGCCCTGTAAATTGAACGTAGCCAAAACACCCGTACCCTTACTCCTGCATGCTTCCTGATAGGACTCCTAATTGGTTTCCTTAGAAATTCCCATTATCTGTCAGGTGTGACGCCTAACCGATCAGTGCAGCCTTAGATGCCGAGGTGCCCGAGGAGCGTCCTCGCAATCTGCCCCATGCGGCGCGACATGGGGGGCTTGTTTTGGGCTTTTCGTTGCAGTGAAAGGGCTTGACTTGGGATTGCTTTGCAGTGGCAGGGTTGGGCGTTCGTTATATCATTGCAAACCGTTGAGGCTGTAGAGGGAGTTGTTGTGGCTCTGACTGAGAATGGAGGCTGTGCAAGTTCCCTCGGGTCGAGATGCAGTTTTCTGCAGGCATTTTGGGACAGGGGTAGAAGGTCAAGCGTATCCCATGCTGCTGACATGCCAACATGACACATGGCTTTGCAGCCGCGGGGCTCATTAGGAAGCATGGCATGCAATTTGGTCAAGATCTGCAGCTGGAGTTTGCAACACCAGGTGAGAGTGCATGCTGAGTGTTCAGACAGCGTCAGCAACGAATGTAGGTCGCATCCTTTCACCCTATGCAGCCGAAGCATGGGCAACTGTACTAGCATCGCTATCTCCAGTAGAAGTTGGGGGAAATGCCAGTTATGCTTGTAAGGCGGTTTACGTTTAAAGAAACAGACATAAACAGACACAAATAGAGCGGAAAGTCACAGCTGGCGAAGCCATGCTGACGGCTTGTGGTGATTGCGGCTTTGCATAAAGGAAATTAAGTGGAGGGCTTCTGGTAAACACATTAGGCTTGTGGTGCGGGGGATATCCCGCGGTGTAGTGCAGTGACTGCAGGATGCTTTATAAAACCAATTGAAATCGAATTAAAATCCCGTTAGAATCAATTGAAATTTAATTAACATTCCATTTAAGATCAACTGAAATCGAATTACACCCCCGCCAAAATCATTTGAACTTCAATTAGAACTCTTTTAGAATCAATTGAAATCGATTGAAATCAATTGAAAAAATCTTAAAATCAAATGAAATTGAATTGAGATTTAATTAAACACGGCAAATATTGTAATAATATCAATCAAAATCGCATTCAGTTCTTGTATATAGAATCCTTTTATAAACCCATATGAAATTCAACCAAAACCAAGGATGTCAAGGGATCCCTAATTCCTTTGGATTTTCTATTATGCTCCTCTGATGACTTCAAGAACCTCCTAATTCATGATGGTCTGGCCCCTTCTAAAAGTAGTACAGCCCCTTTCAAAATGCTCATCAGGGATTTTTAGGCCCTGGATTATTTATTATGAGGGTGGTTTTATTAATAGTCGGAAGCGATTGTTATTGTTGGGGCCCAAGACAAGGGTGACAGATCCGGTGGGACCTCTTGCCTCTTGCTTTAATCAACTGGGAAGCCTGACCAGAAGGACTCCGTTAAAGAGAAGCATGCAAACCACGAGTGGGAGACGGGAGACCTTGTCTTCTTTCTGCACATGAGAGCCCCAACAGATATTCCCAGAACATGGGGACACTTTGTCCAAGGAGCGTTACGTGAGAGCCCGACTTCGGAAGCTAACCCGAGTGTCTACTCGGAGATTCATGGAACTCAGCTTAGTAACTACTTATGAGAGGGATATACCGCTGCTTAAAATGGGTCTAACCTCAGTATAAGTCGTCACTAAGTCCCATGAACCTCCAAGTAGAGTCTACAGCCAGGTCATGGGCAAGTTGCTGCGAACGCTGTCAATGCCGTATCCTGGCGTGGTCCTCTTCTACGTTCTCTTCCCCAAGAAAGCATGCATAGACAAAAAGGGCCCAAAAAAGAACACGGTCCATGTGGAAGGAGTGCAGGCAGATTAGTTTCGCCTTGTGATGTTGGGGAATAGGACAAGTACTATCACCATTCCCATTTGTTCTACACACTGGGGATGCGGGTGCCCAAACGTGAAGACCCTCACCTTGTGTGGTCTCAAACAATCAACTGTATGTTGACCTGAGAAGTCTTAACACGAAATCTTGTAGATCAAAGCCTTGACGACCTTGATGCATGTTAGATCATTCCTAGACGTGGTTTCTACTTATTACTGCTAGGCTTCTGCGGGTCCTTGTTGACTAGTAGAATATTTCGAAACATGCTCTCATTCTGGTTGAGGATGGGAAGGCCCAAGATCAACGTCTTACAGTTTCCCCAGCAATGAAAGTCTGCCTGGAGATCCTATGGTCTGAGTCACCAAAGCCACCGAACACGCCGGTTCTGTTAAGTATACCTGGACGTCTTACAGCCTCCACAATTATTTTGAGCAGGATGTTAGGTGTTGTAAGTAAAGACTACGTAAAGACTTGAGAGACGGCACCGGATGTATGCTGAACTTGACCCTCGGAGGTTCAAGAACAAAGCTGGCTACCTCATTGCTACCCTGGCTTTCCCTTGGCGTCCCAAGGCAGCCCCACAATTGCCAGCTTTCTATCTTTAGATTTCATATGCAGACTCTGAGGCACAACCGCCGCAGCCTGCATCAAAGATGACGTTTCCCAAGGAATCGTCAATAGTTGAGCCTTTGGATGCACCGCAGGCGCAGGGGCAGAAATTCTTCAAGTACAAAGATCCACTTACCCGCCAGGCCCTGCAACACAAGCACTGACCCCCAAGACACGACTGCTGCCCACCCGCACCCTGAACCTAATAACCTTAGACCAAACCCCCTCTCGCCTTGATTCCCGCCTGCAGAATTTGCTCTAACCAGCATTACATGCCTTGTCGACCCCCCTGCTACTGTACTGGACTGAGTACTCTTCGGGGGGGGGGGGTATTCGGAGTTTCTCTAACAATGGGCCTACTTAACCAGGTAAAGATTTGGGTGTATGTTGGTGTGAAAATTGAGTTTCAAGATATGATAGTAACCACCTGCTAGATACGTTGTCAACACTAGTCAATTCCTGGTTCCCCAAAAGTCTAGTAAATGCTTTCAGGCTTCGTTGTGCACGGATATTGCCTGTGTTCTTTGGGCTTTCCCTCATAAATTCATTTGCATTCTTTACGTCCACAAGGGACCTCTTTGCCTTTGCCCTACCTATGGTGTTTGATAGTATCTGGAAGTGCCAGTTTGGCCTTTCAAGTTTGCCTCTGCCAGACTTTGCCTCCCCTAAGCCTGCAACCTTAATGTAGATGTAGCAATATTATAATTCAAGACCCCTTGTAGTATACAGGTGCCTGAAATAGACCTGAAAGTGATGTTGGCAAAACATGTATACATATATATAAAGGCCCCTACATTAAAGCAACAAGTGACAAGGACTGCGTAAAGGGCCCATAATCCCCCAACTTCGAAAATCCTAAGCCTCAACCTCGACTTACGCCCTAAGTCTAAACCCTATAAGTCTTAAACCCCAAGCCCTAAACCTTAAACTTTAAACCCTAAATAGTAGTTTCCATTTTGCTTTCCAGTATCCCTAGATGGCATTATATAGCCCCCAATATAACTTAAAGCAGAATTCGTACACCCTGCGCTAGGTGCCCACAGCCCTCTCGGACTTTGAGGCTGCACTACAGCGGCTAAGGTCGCTGCATGAGCAGTCCCTTTTTCAGCTCCAGGCAGCTGGTCTCAGGACGTGACTTAGGACTCCTTGCTTTAGGGCCTAGAGGGTAGTCCCCATCCATTATGGTTAACCTCCCAACCCCCCTGCACAAAATAAAGATCACCTTTCCTCATATATAGCGGATATTCATTTTTAGGGGGTTGGATCGGCTTCCTTTAGGGGACGGGGAGGGGGGGCACGCACTTGTCTTGTAGCCATGTGGTATTTATGCTTGTTGGTGCGCGGTTAAGGGCCCCTTATATAGCTGAGGTAGGCAGAAAACGGTGTGGGCGATTTAGTGTGGCAACATGTTAGAGCACTAAGGATGCCGGGTCGGCAGACGGTTGATGCCATGATACGGCAGGTATCTCTGGAACATCCCGACCCCTAAAGTATCTTTAAGTTGTCTTGACCTCCCGCCGGCATGAAGGAATATGAAGACATACACCTGGCAGATATACTGAGACTTCGGAGATTCAACATCGACATTGGTTATGATGTTTTTGTTGAGGCTGGTCATGAAAGGTCTCGTAATTCTTCAGAGGGATCCCCCTAGTCTCTACATGTGCTTCTCTTCTGAAGGACCCATAGGAATCCCGACCAGTTGCCCGCCTAGAACCGATTCCTAGATTGGGAATTACATTGTGTCCTTAAGGCTCCCTAGACTCCCCCACATTAGGGGCCCACAATCCACGGGCATGTTCAGGGAGTCAAACTGGCAATTGTAGCTTGAATCACTACGTTGCTGTCAAGGAACTTACATTAAGATTTCATAGCTACCTGTCATTACAAAAGTGGTGGAAGAGGTGGTGGTGGTGGTGGCGGCGGCGGCGGCGGCGGCAGTGGCGGCGGCGGTGGTGGTGGTGGTGGCCGTCAAGGCTACAAGGGAGGATACAGCCCGGCACCGGGGTAACATTCAGGAAGGTGATCCGCGCTCTTTTCCTAGGCTCGACCCCTATAACATAATTCCCAGAATCTTTCAGCCTTGCTTTTTACCTTACAGCTGGCTGAATTTTGACCTAATAGGTTTAGGGAAAAGGCCACAACCACCGAAGGCAATGCTATCTACTTAGGGGGGACTCTGCATGTGTGTGTATATATATATATAGATATATGCGCATATGTGTCAAGGTCATTTCGGGACTCCCGAGACACTACGCAATGATTTTATGGATGACATCAAGGGACAGGTTTGGGCTTCTCGCGGACGGCTTAATCTGGGTTGCTGTTAAGGAACTTACACTCGGTTACCATATGAGCTATAGTCTAAACTCCTTAAAGGGGGTTATATAGGGGATTATATAGGGGACTACTATAGGGGTTATTAAGGGGGATACTAGGAGTTTAGACAGTAGCTCATATGAACGGTATGAACTGATAGCCGCCCGGCACCGGGGTAACCAAACTGTGATCCTAACGAAGCCAGGTGCCCCAAAAGTTGGGTGGAGCATCAACCCTGGGACCCTAGGAAAAAAGCCAGGTGCCACTGGCTTTTTTCCTAGCCCCTTTTCGGGCCCCTGGGACCTAGGGACCGGTACGAAAAAATCAGACCTAAGGATTTCAGGCGGCTCTTTTCCTTACCATAGCTTGAGTGCTCCACCGAGGCTATATTGGATAGAATATGGAATTTCCCAAAACAGTAGTAAGATCCTCATATGACCCATATTCTATCGACTTAAGGGGGACTCAATATGTATGTGAGTGTTTGCATGCTTGTAGCGATGCTCGCATGTAGGATAGACCACATCGTAAAAGATATTTGTTGCTCACTGTACAAGGCTATCCTGTACCCACCATGCAAACACACAAATACCTATATAGTCCACAAAAATAAGTAGAGTAGATAGAATATGGGTCATCGTGGGATCTTCATCTGGTTTGGGAAGTTCCATTTCCTATCTGTTTAAAGGGGACTATGTGTGTGTATATATATATATATATATGCATGTATACACGTATCTTGGCAAGGCAAAGCTCTTCAAGGCAAAGCCAGACGATGTGGCGTGCGATGCCAGCTCAGCAAAAGCTTGGACACGGTGAATCGCTATAGTACATCTGCTTGCTGGAGGTTTATAGAATCCCTCGACTATGTATGGATAACGGAGAAGACAATGGAGACTACTATTTGGAGTTTAGGGTCTAGCGTTACTAGGGAATAGGGGAATATACTCCAGATGTAGCTCCTACATTAAAACATTCCTCTTATTCCCTACTATACCCAGCAGTAAGTAGGGGCTTCAGGGGTTCAGGGTGATGGAGTCCAGACCCTGAAGTTGAGAGTGTTGCAAGGAGATTTTTGGCACAGGTCTTTTGGCAGCACTTGTGTTGCTTCCCAAGAATTAGGGGGGTGACTTTTTCAGGGGCTCCTATAATAAGGATGATTGTACTTTGGGATCTATCTTGGGGTCCCGTGAGGGACGGACTTTCTGCGGAGCATGGTTAAAGGCTGCAGAGTGAACAAAGGCTTATAGTGAGACTAGTAGGGGAAATACGGTGTCCTAGAACTACAGCCCGGGAAGGGATACCATATGACCTTTTCATGTATGAGGATTGAGGTTTCGCAGACGTCACGATAGATTCCTCACTTCAGCCCTTTGCCAAGGAGGGAGCTGCAACGTGGCGACCGGAGCGACGAGTGACCTTCGAGGAGCCGCGGATATTCCGGCAGGGTCAGCATGTGCCTTGCTAGGAGAAGCAGTTAAGTTAAGCAGGTATTGGCGGAGGTGGGCATGTTGGGTCGCTGCTGCTGCTGCTGCTGTGCACTCAAGTCAAGAGCTGTTGAGTTGCAAGCTGCAGCCAGGAGAGCCAGCTGAAAGCCCAGAAGGACCAGGCAGCGGAGTCCAGGGAACGCAGCCAGTTCTTGGATGGCTGAGCTGTTTCGGTTAGGGAGGCTGACCAGGAATTGGCCACAACACAATGATCAAGTGAATTCTGCTGAGGTACTATCCTGATTTGGTGTTTAGGATGTCCTTTTTGGGCTGGGTTGGTGTTCCACTTGCAGCTGAGAGATGCCTCAGGCTCTTTGTGCGAGTGCTGCAGCAGCTACGCATTACCTTGATACATTGTGAGCAAGTTTTCCTCACACCATGCATCTCCTGCCTCCAGAACGCGGAAGTGGTGGTCGAGACGACTCTGCCAGAAGCCAAAATCGAAGCTCCAGACCAGGAGGAAGAGAAGGCGGTCACACGCCTGCAAAAGTCGTAAATGTTGTTGGGCCGTTTGGTTGCGGGTGAGGTTGTGCGTTATTCAGGGCCTCGGGGATATTCATCGCCAAACTTCGAAGGAATGTATAGAAACTCCGTGACGGACCCCCTCGACCGCGTTCCAAGTCCCAAAAACTTGGTACTCGTAAGAACCACAGGAAGGGTTCTTGGAGCTGGGCGTACCTCCCCTTCGCTGAGCGTATTGGTGAGCTGAGCTTCGAGAGGAATCTTACGACCGCATCCGCCTAAGCCAAATCGACCTGAACAACAAGCTGATGGAGCTCGACCAGGCCAACTTACAGTTTGAAATCCCATTTATATGGGGGGTTCACAAAAATTGTTGGGGTCCCTATAGTTCGGGGTCCATTTGGGGGTCCCGCATGTATATGGGAAGCACCATATACTATACTGTCTCAACAATGTTTTGAATGCTCAGGGGCTGACACGGGACAGAAGGACAATGCGAGTTAACACGGGTTGCCTCGACAGACCTTTTTGTTTGCGGCTCGGCTTTTAACAATTGACAACCACCCATGTTTGCCGGCATCCCTATAACTAAAGCAGTGGATTGTGGCGCCACCATTCCGTTGAAGTTGTGGCGTCTTGTTGAGAGCCATAGCTTGTGCCCATGCCTCTAGCTTGTCCTTTTGCGGAAACCTCTCGTCAAAACAGGACGGGGACAGCTTGGAGATGCTCAATCCAGTTAAGCTCTCACGGTGTGCACAGTGCAGGAATTTGCCAGATCCACGGGCACCCGATTCTTTCAAATAGAGAGGTCGGAGATCAGCGTGTCGTACATGGTGCCTTGGTGACATTGACCCTTCTTGGGAAAGGATAGGCTGCAACCCTAGAGCAAAGAAACTCTATCGCACGACTCTGCCAAATCAGACCAGGACTCAGCGCGACGTAATTAGTTGGGGAATTTTCGAGGTTCCATAAGATGGCCCACTCAGGCATTGGTTGCTTCCAGATTCGAGGTTCAACGGAACTCCTAGCGAGACTCTACGTGGATGGATGCGCGTATAGGCGTGACCTCCAGCACGGTCAGTTTGCACGGAATCATCATACAACTCCTGGTAAGTAGGTAAACAGCAAGCCCCGCACGCACACGCACACACACACGCACACACACACACACACGCGCGCACACACACACACACACTTGCAAGCACCCCGAAAGGTGTAGTAGGTGCGATGTATTCTTTGCCCTTGTCTCTGTTCTTGCTTCACCGCAACATGTCTGTAACATGCCTGCAACTTCAATGCAACATGTCTGCAACATGTCTGCCACATGTTTTGGCAACAAACTGCACTGACATGTGTGAACATGACTGTGCCTGCCTGACATGTAAAACCTACCGCAAGAGTTTGGGCACAAGCTGCACTGTCAAGTGCCCATGCCGACCATTTTGCTTTGCAGGTACACAAGACTGATCAGGTCTTGCTTCCCACTTGCATCCACAGCTTCGTTGAGTGTGGTAGGATGCAAGTGCCACACTCCCCTGCATTTTAAAATTAGGGGGGATCCTTAGCAAACAGGGGCTTACACACACAGACACACACACACACAGAGACACAGACACACAGAGACACACACACACACACACACACACCCGCACACACACACACGCACACACGCACACACACGCACTTCCAGAAAGCTGGTTTTCACGCAAGGGTGCTCCCGCCCTGCCCTTGAAGTACTAGTGGCATCCTTTGAAATCCTTGTTGCGGAATTACTGGGTTGTTGTTAAGGGACTTAATTTAAGTTACCATATTGGGGAAACCCCATTATTTGCTAGATGTACCCATTATGGTAACTTCATTTAAGTTCATTAACAGCAGTTCAGATTAGGCCCACAGCATGAGGTGCGCCCCGCTCCAACAAAGGTGCGGCATCCTCTCTTCAACTTGATCACTGTTCGGAACTTGGATGTGTGGTTCTATAGGGGTATACAGGGGCTATGTAGGGGTATAAAGGGCTTCATAGGGGTCATATAGGGATAATGGGCTACTGGAGAAGAAAATGGAAGCAGCCATTTGCTTGGGGTTAGAGGACGCCTCCGTGACGAATCGTGTGTACGCTGGGGTAGTTTCCCCGGGTTGGAACATGACAGAACATGGCAACAAAGTCGTTAGGCTTTTAGGCTTCCCATGCACCATCGGATTCAGGAGTTTGAGATCTTCCATGTAATTCTTTGGCCGCACCTGCCACTTCGTGTAGATGCGTATAGAAAGCAGGCATGCCAGTTGCTGAAGTGCTAAGCCCATGGCTTCAGAAGTTAGTCCTAACCACTCGTACAACCCATATCAATATAACCTTTATATAGCCCTCATACCTGATTTAACCCCAATATACCCCTACATGATACAGCTGTCTCCATTTTAGGGTCTTCGCAGCTTCTCGCCTCTGAGCTTTTTTAACGCTGACATGAATCACATTGGCTGATCCATCACGAGAATGTGTTCAAGCCCACGTTAGACAGAAGTGGCTGCACCAACAAGCCCAGGCGTTCATGATCATCCTCAATGCAGCGCAGAAGCTTTGCTGCTGATTTCTTCTGAGTCATGTATTTTTAGGGTTTGCTTGGAAGGGGTGGCCAACAGTCATAGTTTTCCATAACGTTGAGTTCGCGCAGAGCAGCTGCGCGGAGGCCTTTGCTTGCAACGCTTTGAGCCCTGGTGGTCAACACCCAACACATTCATTTGGGCACATCCACTTCCAGGGTGAGATGGCCCTGCAGTTGGCGATCGGAGTGCAAAGGATTCCCTGCTTCCCTCTGTAACCTTGTCAGATACACAGTGGATCCCAAGCCTGCCAGGTTTGGGAGGTCTAACGTCTAGCGACACTCAGCAAGTTATATGTAGACCCATCTTTCTGCTGGGGGGCTGAATTTTTCAGATTTTTAAGGATTGGATACGATGCTGAACTGACAGCTACAACTGGCGGCGCGGCCTCTCCTGTGTGGATGCATATCTGGTCATTGGTACCTCAGCGGCCATAGCAAAAGCGGCAGATGTAAGAATAACGGTCACAGAGGCCGATGCATGAGTCTTAGTGTTTTTTTAGGGAATTGTGATGGCAGTTTCCTAGGTGAGTAGGCTATTCACTCAGACGAAGCTTGAAACTAGCTCTGCATCTGAAGTTCTGTTCGAGAGGAGATTCAAGGGAGACCTCCACAAGCTATTAAAAGCACACGTTTTCCGTCAGTGAAGGGACCAGTGCATGGTTCAAACTTGAAAGGGTCCACGTAAAGCAGGACAGGGGGGGAAACCAGGGTCCCTGGAAAACAGGGACAAGAAGCTCAGGAAGATCACCAACCTAGATGGAATGGTTTCCCGGCTTCCCAACAGATTTGTTGTCAAAAGAAGGCAGCTTTGCCTTGAATGCAGGGAGGTTGGGCTGCTGCTCGGGAAATTTTGAGAAGCTCCCCCAACCCTAATGTAGTTTAGGGTTTAGGGTTTAGGGTCTAATGTAGCACTTGACTTTGCAATTTCAGGTTCCCCAAACAGATTCATCCAGGTGTGTACTCTCTACTTCGCAGTGGAGTGCGCCTTGCGGATTCACACGTATCGCCTGAACCTCAGCAGTTGGAAGATAATGGAAAAGAAAATGGGAACTACAGGAATTATTGGGGTTATATAGGGTTTATATAGGGATTATGGGGTGTATATTGGGGTTATATTGGGATAATGGAAAAGAAAATGGAAACTACTACACCTGCAGGATGAAGTTGAGAAGCTGCGTGCGAGCTCTTGAAACAGGCATCGTGTTTTGCACGATGCTTTTGTGTGTACCCCCGGCTGGAGTCCCTGTTTTGGTAGCATCCCCGCTTTACCGCTTCTAGTGCACAACACGCTTCCCACATTCACGCCCCGCCCTTCTCTGCAATCCCCTCAGACCAACATGACATTTGACTAGTCCCTTGGGATTAAAGTACAGTGAACATTTACAATAATTCCTAAGAAAAGAGAAGTTCTACTCCTGCTTTCAGCTGAGGCCGGGAGTTCTTTTGCGGAGAGGCCTGGCACTGGAACCTGTTCGACCTGCGGTTCGGCTGCAGTGGACAGAACATGAAAGGGGTACTTCGGATGTATAGGGATATTCCGTATATGATATTCCGCCAATACTGGAGGATCAAACTGAAAAGAACGTGGAAACTGGGCTGGAAACCCCATGGAGAAGGGATGTCTTGATGAAGGAGCCTGAGTGATTGGAGTAGGCGGCGGTAGTCCTTGTTCTAATTCTGCAGGGGTACAAGCGGAGGAAGGAGGCTCAATTTCATAGGGGCTCTTGGCAGTCCCAAGATATATTGTCAGGGCTTCAAAACCTACAACTGAGTGCCAGGGATCTGAGTTTTTGGGGACGGGCAAAAGAGTGTGCTGATTTCCGCACCTTTCAGAGCCTTGCTAGAGCCTGCAAGATTTACTATTACTAGAACTATTATTACCGCTATATTACTATTACCATTGCTATTATTACTTCTGGATATTTAGTTGGCGGTTTCCCAAAATAAGGGAACACCATTATAGATTCCAAAATACTATAATCCTTATTATTGGGACCCCCAAAATGGTACCCCTAATTTTTGGAAACCCCCAGTTAGTGAGACATCAATTCTCGGTTTATCATTAACTCGCCTCCCTTCACTCCCAGGCTTCTGGTCGTCTGCTCGGCAGCCGACTTCGTGCCCTTCCTGTACAGCAATACTGGAAACTCTGTGGCGGCTCAGCTGGGATATGGCCTATAGAGAGCCATGCCTTTGGAGCCAGCCTACAACTGCGACATTTGCAAGTGAAGCAGTCGGGGGCTAGATTCGTGTTGATCGAATTCCTGAGCGGAAGCGTGCCAAACCCACTTGACAACTTCAGGCCATATTATTTCCCATTATTGGAAATTTTGTTCTCACTATTATTAATTGCCGTTATTATTATTTGCACTTACCGTTATTTTCAGGTTGTTTGAGTCAACAGAGCATCAGACCTGCCTTGAGATGAAGGGCCTGCGGATGTGGTCCTTCAAACCTCTCCTACAACAGAAACCTTCTGCCGCTTCTCACCTTTCTGAGGTTTTGGATGCTTTGCGCGCGCTGCTCCTCGTTCACACAAAGTGCTTCCACTGTCCTCACCGAATTATTTTTCTTCACTTGCCATACTTCTAGCTGCGTTCACTCTGAAGATTCCATAGCGCGTGGATGACTAGAAGCATAAGCAGCCTTTTGGCAATCCATTAGCGAGGCTTGGGCATAATCATCATCTGTTCGCAAGCTTCAAATCCTTCGATGTAATTGGATGTCGTATACAGCCTGTAGCTGATGCCATACCACCGCAAACCACAGAAAGACGTGCGTTCTCCTCAGCGCTCTTCAACGAAACCTGGCTAAACCTGGCCAGAAAGACAAAGTTATATGTAGTAATAGTAGTAATAACAAGTAAACTTAATAGTAAGAGTAATAGTAATAATAACGGTAATGGTAGTAATAGTAATAATAATACTAGTAACAGTAATAATAATAGCAATAGTTCTAGTAATAGTAATATATATGATGGTATTGCCCGCGCGGTCTTCAACTCTTGAGCTCAGCCCCTACACTCAAAAGACTTGAACGCCCTGGACACCTTCAGGGTTTAGGGTTTCAGGGTTTAGGGTTTAAGGGTTTAGGGTAGTAGACCATGTGAGCCCTGAAATTTCAAAGGAAGCTTCTCCGAATCATCCGCGTCTTTCGAGTCTTCCGGGTTATCAAGCAGCTCTCCAACCTGCCCTCTGGCTGCACAACGACTTGCTTAGATGGTCATGTAAGGATGTTTTCCTGATGGTTATATAAGGATGTATACCTCTCTGGTGGAGAGTCGGATGCAAAAGAAAATGCACAGGAAAAGGAAAACCTAGGTTCCTTCTTATTGGCCATGTAGGGATATGCATGTAGGGATATTGCCCAAATAATGGGGAATGAAATAGAAAAGAAAGCGGAAAGAAATGGGTGCGGCGTCTGTGTAGAAGTTTATAGTTGCGGTCATCGTTGTAAGATTCATCAACATGGTGGTGGTGGCGGGGTCGGTTGTCAGATGCAGCTGTGGCATGATGATGATGATGATGATGATGATGAGGGGGAGGATACTGTAGGAGTAGAAAGCTTTACAGCCCAGTGAGATAGTTTAGCAGTACCTGGACCCTAAAAGTATGTAAAATGAAGGCCTTTATGGCTAGTTTTTGGTGTTTAGGGCTATTATTTTACATACTTTTGGGGTTTAGGTATGAGCTAGGCCAGCAACGACACCAAACAGTAACGCTAGGCACTGTTTTGATTTTGAGTTGCCATCCTGCCTAGCAGGAGGGAGGAACAGGAAGTATGATGTCAATCCTACTCGTAGCCAGGACTCCAGTGAAACGACTGGATTTCGAATGATGAGGCGTGCGATTCTGGTTTTCCTTTTGCTTACAGATGTGTGAGACATCTTCCGCCTGAAAAAACCATAAACCTCAAATCCTAAACAGATCCTAAACCTTGAGCCAATGAATCAGGATGGTGATGATTGCTGACTCCATCAACTCACTGCTCTGGGCGCTGGTAATGCTGGTGATCATTATGTATGCCGCTCGGGAATCTTATGGGTTCACTCTCCTATCTAAAGGGGAAATTCTACCTAGACACCTATATAACGGCCTCATTGACAGGGCATTCTGGTCTTCACATGCGCCATCAAGAAACAATTTTTGGCTCGCGATAAGAATTGGAGGTTCATGGAATGGGGTTTGAGTTGGGCACTTCGGTCAAAGTGGCATGGACTTTACAAGTTGTCCTGCGACTTTAGCAGAAGCCTCGGCTGAGCTGGCATTAGATTGGAGGGTGTTGGACTTGAGGGCTACGGTTACGGGCAGGGTTAGGCATGGAAATACACATCGTCCGGAAACAAAACAGACGTTCAGAAGAGAAAGAGCACGGCAAATTGTGAAGCTTGGGCCATCTTCAGGCGGAACATGCTCTTTGGAAATGAGGACGCTTGAGCAAACATGTAGGACAGAAGCCAAATGCCTGAAGCCTCTCGCTTGCAGGTCTTTGCAGTGTGCATTATGACCTTCACATCGGACTGGGCACCCTGGTCGCAGAGATCTAACGAGTCTTGGAGCTCAGTTTTTCAAAGAGGGGCCGGCAGTCAAGTTCTGGTAAGTGCCCGGCAAAGCGCAAAGGCGCACCAAGGATATCTCAACATCAGCGCTTGCTTCCAGTGGTCCGTAGTACGAGGATTCATGTCTTTCTGGGCTTATGTGGAGGGCCCTAGTCTTATGAAACAGCCATATACGTTACTCACGGACCTCTTGCTCCACAGCTTCATGCAGCAAAGGCCCACGTTCCAACAATGCTGACTTCTGGAAACCCTATTAGACGAAGCATGTCGTAGGTCATCAAAATACCAGTCCTCAAGTGGCTCGAAAAGCAGCTTCGGATCAACCGCCCCATTTGCTGCTCGCAGCTCCTTCCCTTGCACCACCTTCCCTGAACATGAAACACACATCTTCCCCGCCTGTAGCATCATATGAGCTATAGTCTAAACTCCTTAAAGGGGGGATATATAGGGGATTATATAGGGGACTATTATAGGGCTTATTAAGGGGGATACTAGGAGTTTAGACTATAGCTCATATGATCAGGGAACCCTGACTTTGGGGGTTGCTGGAGTCTGCTCGGGAGAATGGAGTACTTGGAAGTTTCCCTAAATTACTGTTCCCAAAATGGGGGAAATTGATATAGGACCCCCGTATTATAATGGGAACCCAAATATAGGACCCCGTATTATAGGGAATTTAGACCAATACCCACTTTATTACGGGTATGACTTGGCATCGCGGAGGTTCCAATTGTGTTGTCGCACTGACGTAGCCCTCATGTCATTATGAGATTTACAGAAACATGTGTAGAAGGTCGACACACGCAGTGAAGATGGATGGAGCCATCAGTAGGTAGACCCTCAGGCATTAAAGTCCTTACTGCGGGTATCCCGCCAAAAAAAGGCACCGCATGGGAGACTCCATAAATTGGTAGACCCCAAGATAGCATAATCCTTGCTAATTAAGGGGATCCCGGCAAAAAAAGGTACCCCGGCTTGGCGGAACACCCCCCCCATAAAGCTCCTCATTCATGCGGTTTTTTATCCCTCAACCTTAAACCCTTAACCCTAAGCCTGTCCCGAAGGTAGCTACATCTCCCGCAGATGATCCTGTCGTTATGCGGATCCGCGATGCCTTCGGATCACTGGCCCTCTCGGCTGCAAGAGGATTGCTTAGTTCCCTCAGCCATGACCACCCTACAACGAGGTGTAAAAATGCACAGTTTTCTACACTTGCCCTGCAGTTTGACTGTTCTGAAGCTTCCGGCAATGTTTGGGGTAGCCATGCCTTTCATGATTTGGGTCGCTGCGCTGAAGGGCATGTCCTTCTTCACGCTGGTGGTGGTCATGCTCGATGGTGTGGACTTTGCTGACATCTTGGAAGATCTCCTGGTTGTTGGCATCTTGTCCGACATTATGCTCCGGCTGGTGCCAAAACGCCGCATAGGTTCCGGAGGTAGAAGCGTCATTGCCATGCCATGGCGCTGTTTCCCAAATTAGTTGGTGTCTCCTCGAACAAGCACCCCGGTCTTGTACCTCGCATGCGCGCCCTACATGCATTCAGAAGAACGCCCTCAAAAAGGGATGCATCAAACAACAGCCCACAGGCAATCCCCTCATAATCCTCCATATGCCGATCCCCTCATTATCCTCCATATTTCCACAGGGTTTCAGGGTGCCCCCATTTCGACAGAAACCTCCCAGAAACTGCTTGCAGGTTGGATCCCCTTCGCACTTTTGATGTTCTTCGCAGCCTGGCGGCATCAAAAACAGGGTTTCGGACTGGGCTGGAAAGGGGAGTCGCCATGTGAACAATAGCCAGGGTTTGCATTATGGTTTCTGAGTGGTGTAATTAGGTTTCCTTCCGAACATTTGCTGAGTGTATATATATTAGGTGTACACTTTCAGGACCATAAACCCAAATCCTACCATGCGCAGTTTCATCAATTCTGGATGAACATGTGAGTGTCTTCGATCACCCTTGCATAGCGGTTAGACAGGAAAAATGATGACAGATTACTTCAACGAGATTTTCGCCTATGGAGCCATACCGCGACACTACAAAGCAAGTAGTCTGGCACGTTCAGGTCAAATGTCTTTTTGTGGGTTTCGGCTCCTTGGCATCTGAGGTGCTCTTCACGAACTTGGCTGTCTTGAATGCGGAGACCTCAGTGCTTCTGGCGTTGCCACCTGAGATGGAATTGGGGCGGGATCGGACTGTGGTTGTCAGTCCATGATTATCATATACCTTGCCTCACCATGCTACGCAGGAGCAGCAGGAGTTTCCTGTAGGCTGAAAGGTGGGCTATGGGGATGCTGTCCAAACCATTCGCAATGATTATGGCAAGCACTCGGTGGTTCTTGTCTGCAACCATCCCATAACACCTGACCACGATGTATTTTAGCTTGCTCAACTGCGGGCCCTGCATAAAAGGATGGCACGGAAAAAAAAGCAGCCGACTTTGACCCCGATACCATCCCCACCGTGAGTTCAAAAGCGCTATTGAGGTCAAAGTATCTGGGCAAGTAGATGGGGTCCTTAGCATGGTGGTGTAGGCTTGCCTAATATGGTTGCTTGTTTCATGCAAGTGCTTGCTTGAACAGTTTGATTGTCATGTTTGCGGAGACTCACTTGTCCCAGTGAGGGACGCAACCACGCTGGTTACACTGTACCCTTTATTGTGTGCAGTGGGTCCATATGGGTGCCCTGTCCATTTGGGCTGCTGGCACCGGAAGAAAGTTAGCTATTGAGGTCGTGACTGGCGTGTTTGTGGACAGGGCGCTGGAAGCAGAGAAGTCCCAAAGAGAATATCAGGTGCCTGGGCTCAAAGTGTGAGCAGTGGCATCTAGATGACTTACAGACGCTGTTTGTGATGCGGAAGCAGCTGGGATGCTTTTAATAGGAGTTGAAGAGCAAGAACCTGTAGGAAATCGGGTCTCTGCGCAGGTGGAGCGGGCGCTGAAGAATCAGATCTCGTCGTGGCCTTGGGCTGACTATCCTGGCTTCTGCCCTGTCAGATTGATGCTGATAGCCTAAACTCTAAAACCTAAACCCTGAAGACTGAAAGAGTACAAGAGGGGACGTCAGGAATGGGATGGTATATTTTCCACAAACCTAGGGGCTTGTAATAATTGGGTTTAGGGTTTAGGGAGTAAAAAATCAATAGCAAACATTGTGCTTCCACGGTCGCACTCCTCACGCATGGCGAAGATGGGACCTGGTGGTAGTACACGGCAGGCTTCACATTGTTTTCAAAGCAACGGCCCCTAATCTACCCTTCCCGCTTTGAAACAAGGATTCAGATTGTTGAGAAGCCCCCAAGGTTCAAAAAACAGATCATCCACCTCGTTGCCAAGATTGACAGCTGCTTGGCTGACAGCCTCGTTGCCTTGGAGCTCGTTCCCAACGGGGTGATCCTGAACCGTTTGCCTTTACCTGGTACTGTTTTGTGAGAGTCGGTCAAAACGAGGTCATCTCTACGCAAAACCATTCGAAAATGTCACGTTAATCCCCAAATATGCTTGATTAAGGTTCCCAGGTTACCCATGTTTTGAGAAAGCCGCATCCTGTCAGAGGTTCTGAAATTGCAGGCATGTCGGGGTTTCCCAAAATTAAAGCAAGGGGCTCTAAGGGGGCTATATAGGGTTTAGGGAGTAGGGTAATGGTTTAGGGTTTCCAAAATTAGGGGTGACAGATTTGGCACATGGTTTCGGGTTCAGCGATACCGGGGATACAGATGGGCGCGCGAACGGCAGTTTCTCAGAAAGCTGTCCCTATCTCGGCGACTCATAACTAGACATTTTAGGACAATGATAGATGCTCAGAAGCAGCCACATTTGGGATGGTATCTGGGTCTGGCACATTAAAATGTGCTTGGATGCTGGCGTGAATGCTGGGGGTTGTCCTAGAGTTGTCCAGGAACAAGCCTCTGCATGCTGCATGCAGCTCTTGCCAGGGCAAGAGCTGCACATTTTATTCCCATGTGGCCTCAGTCACAACTACAGCTGACACGCTACCAAAGTGGTGTTTATGCTCTTGGCCTACCCTGCATGTTTTCAAGCAGGCTTCTCAACCGAGGACCTTACAAGTTCAAGCGGCAGCGGAAGAGAGAAAACTGAGATTGCGGGGTTCAATTTCATCCCGGATGTCTAAGGCAATGCTGATGGGCGCATCACGCGAGATGAGCTGCACAATATGCTAGAGGACAAAGTTGCGATTCGGTGTGTTGGGTTGAACGGGAATTCTTGAAGCTGTAAGGTCTCGGGAGGAACAGTGACAAGAACGATGATTGCAGCTTTCCCTTCTCAACCGCGCGAATTATTGTTATTGTCAGTGTCGCTCCATGCGTTATCATCGGCAAGTGCTGCCAAGCATGCCCCTTTCATGTTGTTTGACCCGCCTCCTCCTCTTCCTCCTCACACGGTGGGCTGATTTGAACCGCGCTTGATCTTGCAGTGCGCGCTCCTGTTTCCCACACTTTCACTGCATAGCACAATTATGCTGAGCCGGGCAGACCAGGACAAGCAGGGGATACACCGTACTCCCATCTTGGGGTTGGTTCCATGAAGAAACAGGGATTTTTCTGTTTTTCGCTACTTGTCTCAGAGCGGTGGGAGCACCTCACTGTGGCCACATTGCAGGCATGGACACAGCATGATGTCATAGCAAATCTCACAAGAGCTCCTCATGACGTCGGCTTGTTCTTTGCAAGTATGTCTGTTGTTTTTGTTCATTGCATTGTCGCAATGCATGTTGACTTTCTTTACTTCTTCTGTGAGGGACGACGGCGAAATGCCCCTATAGGACCGCAATCTCTCAGCTCACTGGGAAACGCTCGGATTGGTGGGCCTTAACAAGAGACTTGGCGCGAATTGCTTGTCATCATGCTGGCTGCAAGTGGGGCGGCCGAAACTCAGAGGTTTCGTTTCTTTTCAAGAAAGCCCGAATAAAAGTCCTACAGGTTGGGTGCTGCCCCCATTATCAACAGCTGGATATATTCATGATACAAGTATAAAGAGCCATTAATATGACCCCTACATACCCCCATTATAGATTGCTACTGGGTGGGGGCAAGACCTAACCTATAGGGTCTGAAGACTACTATTCAATGATGCACAACCCTAAACCCTAAACCTTATAGAACCCCCCAAAAAAATCCTCAACCTTAAACCCTAAACCCTTAACCGTAAGAAGGAGTTTAGACTAAAGCTCGCCCAAGTCCCTGCTTGACCTCAGCAGTTGCAAGCAGCATCCTGGTTCTTGAAGCGAAGCAGACATCTTTGCTTTAACAGATGCTTTAAGGTTGAGGTGTTAGGGTTTAGGGCAGACCCATTGGGGCAAAGCCTTCTTGAAAACGGCCCCCCTCAAATCATCCTGGCCGCTGCTCCTCCTGCAGCTTTCTTGGAAGCTAGGGCTTTTGGGATTGCAGTACGTACTTTGTTTGAGCTTGTGCCGATGCCAGCAGACCTGTGCAAGCAAGAAGCTGCCAGAAGAATGCCGGCAAGGTGATGATAGAGAATTTAGAATGACAGCAAGGATCGCATAGGACGCGCTAGAATGGTCTTTTCCAACATACGAACCACCGAAGCTGAATAGTTACCCACAGCCGTCAGCCCAGGAAGAATCAGGCTGATCGACTTTTCAGCCTCTCGGTGCGATCTTCCAGATTGAGAATGAAACATGCAACGAGAACCCTATGACGCCAGTAACATTTCACTTGCACACACGTTCCCACCCGAGACGTCCCCCAGTATAAATACCGAGTTGCTCGTGCGAGGGTTCGACTTCGGATAATTATCTTGAGGCCGCAAGCAGAAGGACGACAGAAATGAACACGACGACCTATTCGCAAAAATTTTAGACGTAGCCGTGAACCAGATAACTCGCATCGAAGTGCTTTAGCTGCGGATTCTGACGGTACCACCACTTAATCACCCGTCTAAACTTTGCCTGTTATAAGGTCTCATGGCGTTTTAAAAGGGGTGTTCCAGAGGGGGGACCGTGTAAGATGTGTTTCCTTGCAAGACTTGGCAAGAGTCTGTTCGAACAGATGCTGCTGCACTACCAGCTAGACTTCCTGGAGCTGTTTCCCCCTAGATCTTGATCACCTCCTAATTCAGATTCCTTAACGGACTAGTTCGAAGTAGGGAATAAGGGTATATAATCCCTATACAGCCCCTCAACCCTGAACATATTCCCCTAAAGCCTATTGCCCCTAAAATTCATATATTCACCTAAGCCCTAAGCCCTAAATCGCCCCAAAACAGTTAGGTAACAGCAACCCATTTTTCAGCCGAAGGCTGCCAGATCTTGCCACACCAGAGCCACAGTGCCCTGAACAAGCTTGTTGATAGCATATTAGGGTATATTATGTGGTATATCATGGTACTGTTCATTAAAGCCTGTTACAATGATGTCGTCTACATTTTATAAATTAGTAAACTATGGTATATTACGGTACGGTATTTTGGTTATGCTAGGTTAGGGTATATTCTAGTGTATTGTAGTATGTAATAGTATATATTATAAGTATGCGTGGGAACTGAATTAAGTAAACCCGCAAGCTGCGCAGCATGATCAGTCTTCAAGCCGCATGACCTGCCAAGATCTGGTGGATGAAGACTCGGATGGTGCCATCTACGTCTCGTGGCTTCTACATGGCACGTGGTGCTGCGCATGCTTATAATACATACATACTTTAATATATCAGAATATACCTTAACCTAGCATAAATACAATACGGTACCAGAATATACCATAAAATACTAATCCCTAAACCTTAAATCCTGACCCCAAACCCTTTAGTGGCATATCTTCTTGCTGGCTGGCCAAGATGAACTGAGTGGGCGATGGCTTCCTTTAGGTACCGAGTGGGCAGATACTGACCCCCCGAGCTTAATAGTGCTAGACACGAAGACTTAAACCCCTAAACCCTAAACCAAATCACTGCAATAGACCTTCCATTGCTTCTTTGAGATCTTAGGGGGCCACATTGCAGGAAGGCTTCTTAATGGCCACCCAAATGTGCCTTGCAGTGTTTGGAATGTCAGGCCCAACATGGCCAAAGGGCTGTTGTAGGTTGTAGGGTTAAGGATTTAGGACTCTTCTCTTGGTGCCAGCCATCCGAGGTGGATGAGTTCCTTGACAAAGCTGGTTTCTTGCGCGGGCCAGCAAGCGCAGCTCGCCAATATGGCAAGGTTTTTTAGGAGATGACCTTTGCTCAGTGGCATTGGGCAGGCAAAGGAAATCAACTCCAACACCCGGCTACCACCATGCCTGCATGCGCGATGCGCATGCCGGCTGATCTAAATAATCAACTACGTAACCTCTTGAAAAAATGTGCTACTAAGAGAACCTCTTCCAGAATCACTTGCAACCCACAACCCTGCACGATCTCTTCCACACTCCGTTGCTGTATAATCCCCTTTCATAATCCCCCAGGCTGTCCAACGTCTCTAAACCTGAAAGCCCTGAGGCGATCGAGCTCCTGGCGGTGCAGGCGGAGTGTCATCATATCCGGAAACAGCCCCTTGGGCTTCTGTAGAGAAAAAACTTACGTAATTATGCCCTCACCAAGTTCCGAGGTAGAAAACAGAGCTATGATAAGTTAAGATCCTACTCTTACGCATGGTTGCTGCTATACATAGCACTAGTGCTTCAGAAAATAAACCCTGAGACCCAAATCCTGTTGCCATGTTCTGGCTGGTGATCCTGTTCGTGCTGTCCATTTCACGTAGATGTAGTCTGTGCATTATTCTTGGGATGAACCGGGTAACTTGCCGCAGCAACCATTTTGGATCATTTTGGTATGATGTTCCATGCTTCGCCTTGGAGTGCCAGCCCAGGCTGCGTGAGAACCTCAAGCTGTTGCAAGCGCTCAGCGACAAGCCTGCAGAGGGCGCAAAGGACACCTTAAATGATATAGTAGTTTCCATTTTCTTTTCCATTATTCTATATAACCTCTAGAATAATGTAGTAGAATCCAATGTTTCCATTATACCAAGGGTGTTTTCTTTTTAGGGCCAGGGGCTGCGGGTGTAGGGCTGAAGCTGGCAGTTGCTCTGAAGGCCATGGGATTACAGGTCTAATGGCTTGTAGTAGATGGATCCTAGGGAGCGGAAGTATCCTAGTCGTTTCTGCATGTTTCAAGACGACAGCCCTGATAACCTGTAACTGCGACAAGAGCTTAAGTCCCCCTACTGTAGCTCCGAATCGCAATGTCGGATATAAGATAGTGGGCAGTGGAAGGACGTAAGGTTTGCCTTTTTTAATACCATGGAAATTTCAACCTCACGTGTGGTGCATACGAGGACTTCCTGCTTTTGAAGAAGTAGCCAAGGGCCTGCAGAAAAGTCTCTGGAATTGTTGGGGTTGGATCCCATCTCGGGGTGGGAGGGTTTAGGATTTAGGGTCCCGGGGCCATTGAGCATGCTCAGAGGAGCTGGTGCCTGGATTTGGAAAAGCGCGTATGTCTTCGGCTGAATCTCTTGAGCTACCAGATCTCAACTTTCGGTAGTGCGTCCCAGTGATTCTCAAGCGTCTCAAGGGAATATATATTTAGGCCATATTAGGGTAACCTTTAGGGGTACGTCCCAGTGAGTCGCAAACTTCTGATCCTTGGTTTGTATGGGGGGCTTCGAAACTATCGGTCTCTCTTTTTGGAGGAACTTCGCAAGAAAAACGCAGTATGATTTGAGCCATAATCTAAACTCCTTAAACGGGTTTATATAGGAGGGGCTGTGGGACTACTATACGGGTTGTCAAGGGGGATATTCGGAGTTTAGATTATGGGTCATTTGGGGATGTATGGGGAAGCTTCCCATTTTGAGGCCTGGTCCAGGGGCAGTGTAAAACTTCTGCTTTGAGGGTAAGGACTTTAGTGCTCAAACATCATGACTGCATGTGGACATGGCCATTCCTGAACAAACAGTCCCCTTAAACCCTGAAGGACTCGGCCTTAGCTTACTTGATCGTATTCTATACAAGCACGTTCTTAATGCACATATCTCGCAGGGCGATGGGTAGTTAATGGAATGGGGGGCTTCCACAAGTTGGCGGGGGAGGGGGGTGCCTTTGCGGGGTCCCTATAACAGGGAATAGTTTGATTGCGAGAGTATAAGAGAGACCCCTGATTTCTGGAAACCCTCACAGCTACAGGGACTGTCGGGAAATAATGATGGTAGTTATTCAGCCCGATATGGCAGGAAGACATAGATTGTAGCAAAAGCAGACAGAGGAACATGAATTTGCATGCAGCGCAAATACTACATTCTGCGCATGAACCCTTTATGGGAGTTGTTTTAAGACAAGGGGCCAACTGAGATATTTTTGCCTTCCGAGCTATGGGGAGTTCAGATTTTGAGTTACCGGGCGCTTAAGGCTCTTGGCTCTTTGTGTACTTTGAAGGACCCGGGAGTGTACAAGATGCTTGGACCTTCCAGCTGGGTTTGCCATGAAAAGGCCTTCCCAACGTCAGCAGGAATCCTCATAAGTGGACTCGAACCGCTTGGCAATCCCAGGGGCCCTCGAAGTACCTTCCACGTGACGTGTTTTACATGAGTGTGGCACTAGAAGGCCGAACGGCCCTGAAAGTCAGCTTTAGCTTCCCAAAGCCTATGAAGATTGAGCAGGTGCAGATGGTTGCGCACCCATGCAGTCTAAGCATTAAAACCCTCCTTAGTTTCCATCCTCAAGGGATGTGTGCAGCATGGAGGAAAAAGTCAAGTTATCAGAGCTTGGGGGTCTTTGTTCTGTGTTTGCATGGCAGCCTTGAGAAGCGGACAATGCAACTTGCCTATGAAAGTCTCTCAAAGGTGTTGATTTAGGTTTGGGAGTTTGTTACTACTACTACTACTACTACGACTACTACTACTACTGCTGCTACTACTACTACTATTACTGTTATTACAATTAATGCTATTGTTACCAATGAAAGCAAGGGGACTGTTGTGCTGTTTTTGAGCTGGCCTGATCTTACTTCACGACATAGTCAAGGGGTCAGAGTTCAAGTGTTAAGTTGGTTCGGGTTCAGGACTGCTTCTTATTTTCCACTTGCTTTTTCTTGCTAAGGGCCACTACGTTTTCACAGTTAAGGTTGTGTGTCGTGTCCTCCTAACAAAGCATTATCTCAGCATGGAGGTTGAATAAAGGGGTCGTTGCTGGGGATCTGCTTGAGATTACAGCAGTGTATCGTAAAGTTTGGGGGGCGCCCTCATCACATGCATTCTTTCGTGAAGACTGCTCCCGCGCTTAACTGTAAGAGCACTCAAAACATGTAAGCTACAAGCGTCAGAAGCTGCTACAGTATTACGTTTTTGCAGCTACAACGCAGCCTTGTTCGTATGGTTTGTTCGTTCGAGAATTTGGAAAACTCCGTGCCCTGAACAGCCAGCAGCCGCAACACTTTTGTGAAGGCCCCTATATTCCCCCAGTTTCCATTTCATTTTCCATTTTCTTTTCCATTTGATTCTCCATTATAGGGGGAGAATATAGTAACTTAAGCAACCCAGAAGCTTGAAGGCGTATGCCTACCTGCGACTTCTGCAGTGGAAGAAGGGACCCCTTTACCGCCCCGGGCCCAGAAGTGTCAGGCTTGGTTTTGGCAGGCGGTCCGAACCCAATGCAGTGAAACTCACAGATATGTGCTTACAGCGGCAAGCAGAAGACATCACTGCGGGAACTGATTCCTGATTTTCCTTCAGGCTCGAACGTAACGTGGTTCAGAGGGGTTTGGTAATAAGATTGATCTGGCATCTGGGGCGACTATAAGACATCTGGGGCTGCTCGGAAGACCCATGGCTTCGAATAAATCCTGAGCTTTGCTTTTTTCACACGCACACACACATATCCTGGTCTACTACTTCTCTTCAAAAGAGGGATCCCTCAATAATTTTTGCCAGCCACATTTTCTGACCTCAGCTAGTCGCCCATATGGCGGTCTTCTTTCCCAGCTGGTATGCACAGGAGACAGCGACTACATTGCCATCAACAAGGAAGAGCGTGAGCACTTCCCTTGGGTGATGGAACAGGCTACCGTCCATCATCGCACACTCATTGTTTGGTATTCTCTTCTTTTGTGTTCATGATGCCATCGACGAAGCAGCCGGGATCGGGTGCTAGTGTAGCATTGTGGCACTGCAATCATCCGCAATTAGTGCTGTTCGGCAAGAGATATCAAGCTCTGAGTTCAGTCCCCGAACATTTGCCTCTGACTAGCCTGGTTTGGCGCAGACTTCATGTTGAAGTGCAGCGGTGTGCCATGACGAACGTTCAGCATCCTTTTGCCAGCAAGATGATGTCATCTCTGTTGGTCAAGGTGGTGGTGATCATGGTTCTGCATCATACCGCAATGGCGAGTACGATGGTGATTCTACTTCCCATCGATGAATGAACGTCATCATGATGATATAAATGGTGTTTGCGGGCAATGGCCATGATACTTCATGTGCTACTGCTACTGCTACTACTTGTTGCTGTAGCAGGAGCAGCAGAAAGAGTATCTTTTTTCAAGAAGCCCCGTCAGGTACGGAGCAAAGCGCAAGAATTTTTGCGGCAGCCGGATTCTTAGCAGCTCCCAAGTTCAATATCTCAAGCTCGCGGCGTATCCACATCTTCGGAAGGAATTCGGATCCCTAGGTGATGCCACCCACAAAGGCATCCCGACTCTTAAAGCTAGTGAAACAAGGTTCCCCGGCTCACTCTGCACTGCGAGAAGCCTCTCAGCATTTGACTACTTGACCAAGCCAAAGGGCACATTCCAGAGTGTTGGCTTCCAGTACTCGAGGTCCTTCTCGGGAACTTCCAATAAGATATCATTACAAGGTTGAGTATTCTGGGATGCGTATGGGGACCCTCAGTTCTGGAACAATCACAGACGTGCTCTTCGCAAGGTTATTGAAGGAATAAGATCTCTAAGGTCACTCTCCACAATGGGCGACACAGAACACTCTCTCCTTCATCTGTCCCGGTTGTCCTAGGTATTGGGTGACCGAGCTGCATAACAAGAGGGACAAGTGGTCGCTAGTGTTCGCCTCAGCTGCAGGTGAAAGAAAGGTTCTGTCCCAGATAACCATTGAATCTAAAACTGCAAGGGTTTCTTTTGGTCCGCCCATTGGGCATTATTCGCAGTTGCAGCTTCAATCTGCTAATGTCCACAGGTGTCTCAACATGAGCTTCTCTGTTCCATCCGGAGATGGGGGAGCCTCTTTCATTCTGCAGTCTAGTGTTTGGACGTAAGGTCAGTGCCACATGAGGTAGCTCGACACCTCACGTGATAGGATCCCTGGTCAGTAGTCCTAATAAGACCAAACCTGAACCCTAAAACCCTAAACCCTAAACCCTGGCATCGCTAGAGGTGCTGGAGGCAGATGGTTTCGTGTCTGTCGTCACTGAGAAGCTGTTTGCGCTGGCCTGCGTTTTGCATTGCGCCCAGGAAATCTGCGGTTTGGAACTATAGGGGTTTCGGGTTTGGTCGGATGTACCTGCCTTCTGTTCCAAGTGCAGGTAGGGATCCCTACCAGATGCCTGCATGAAGCTCATACTCTGCTCTGATACAAGCTTGAGAGGAGCCTTGCCCGTGTGTACCGACCTGGTACTTGTAGCTACCCTCGCGCAAATAGCCCAAGCCTATGTGCCGTTGTCGGTAATCAATGGCGCGGTCGTGGGGTGGCGCAGCACAGTGATGGTGCGTTTGTTCTCCTTTTCTGAGGATAGAAGACATCCTTATCAGTCACGCAAAGAGACATTTGCCACGTCCCAGAGGGCCCAATACCCCTTAATTAAGGAATATACCTTAAATACTATTAGGATCCCTTATATCATTTAATTAAGGGGTATTGGGCCGACTGGGCTGTTGTTGTAGGTAATGTAGACTGGATCTAGCGTATCGGTGGGCACGTTCCTGGAGCCTCGGTTATTGTTTAAAGGGTTCATGCATAGGCCTCAAAGTATCTTGAGGTTAGAGAAGCCTTTGAAGCTTCTTCAGGGGACGTGGCTGGGATCATGTTCACTGCATGTACAGTACACTATGCAGCCGCAGCTGTGCTTAAAGCAAAGGATCCATTCTCGAAGCCGCACCCTAGACCGCCCAGAAGAGAGGGAAATCTACATCTCGAACCCCACTACTTAAGCCCACAGGCTACATAAAGGCTACATGTCGAGACTCCTGGATTTTGTTTCCATAGATCAGCCCTCAACTGAAGGTATACCCTGACTGCGAAGTCACTTCGACCCAGCTCAACTACGCCAGTACCCTACTATGACTACTATGGATTGGGTTACATACGGGTTATAACTACCCAGACCACCCACCCAGTAACAGAGTACAACGGTATGCCCCCTGCCATGGCCTCACTACTGGCAGAGGGTGCCATGAGACGAACATGGAGGGAGGCAGAGTGGGCTGGAACAGGGATGAGGTTTTGGGAAGGAGTTTTTGGGGTTTGGGGTTTCATGGGGATTGAGACTGATAGCTTGGGGACGTCTACCTCTTCTCCATAGAATTGTTGGACCAGGGGC